TGGACATCAGGTATCTTCTTAGCTGCTGATTCCAGTGGTGAATCCCCAAACAGTGACTGAGCAGAGGTGTAACACTGCACACCAAAGAAGACACACTGCTGTAGAAGGTGCTTTGTGCTTGTGGAAGATGCGATTCTGGTGCCAACACAAGTCCTTGGGAGCTGTAAGATCTCCCCCTGAACGCTGCTGTTCTGCTCTTCTTATGGGTTCTATGTTGCACAACATTGCGGCAATTAGTTTATTAAAATATATTTTTGACCACCTCCTCAGTACGTTGTTTTAAGGCTTCTTTTGAGAAGCAGTTCTCCCTTTTCCTATTGATGCTCACCATTGCATTTTGTTTACAAGGAAGCAGAGTCACATTTTGAGCCTATTTTTATATTTTCAACAATTAGGTTGATTTATTTTGGTCTTAGTTTTGGTTGCTTTGGTGTGTTTCTGTTAATTTTTCTATTTAGTTTATTTATTGTTTTTTACATCTGCATATGTCTGGTGTGACAGTCACATCCTCCTGAGACCCAAGGAAAAAAGTGTCCTTCAATTTTAGGTTTTTTGTCTTTGAAGGAAATAAGACATCTTACAATTTAGATTTTTTCAAATTTATTTTTATTTCTAATTTCACGGCATGTCCTCTTTAGTGTACAACAGGAATAAATATGTTTCCTTACATCAGTGAAAATATAGATGCAAAAACAAAATGTCCACTACGATGGACATAAATGAATGGGTGGGGTCTCAGGAGGATGTAACGTATTTCACCCTTGACGTTCCTGTTATCAACAATCTGTGATTTTCTTACTCAGAGGCTGGGGAGGAGTCAAAAAAGTACTACTTAAAGTTTGTTCATTAATTCTGGAATAACGGAATTAATTCCTTCTTTACCTGCGTCATTCGTTATCTTGTTCGTCATTCGCTAAGATTGATCACTTTCTGGAAAGCCAGCCCAGGTCTGATATTGGGGGATCAATCTAGATTTTTCTTCACCAAATATTTGGCCAACAGTCACCTCTGTGAGAATTTGTGTCAAACAGGCACAAACACGCATCTGGGAACATGAGGATTCAATCTCAGAAACATACAGAGGAATGTAGACAAATTACATGGCATAAACACATGAATTTACACACCTGCAGGACCCATCACTGGTTGTGGTTCCCATGGAAACCCTGCAGTCACTGCACTGCACTGGTTCTGCCCCCGTAACCTTCAGTGCCCTCCATTCACTGGCACATAGGGACCCAGCACTCTGAGTACGGCCTGCCTGCGTGCCCGCTCCTCACCCCACCCTCTGAGTACGGCCTGCCTGCGTGCCCGCTCCTCACCCCACCCTCTGA